ATAAAAATAAGTTATGACAAGATTGTTTTATTTAATTAAAGGATTGATGAAAATGTATGAAGAAAATAAGATTGGTTTGACCAGTTAATAGTAATTAGAAGTCTTTTTTTAAGACGGAAGGGCATAATTCTTTTCGAATATTAGAAAGCATTTTTGGTAGTGAGGACGAATTTAAACAGCAATGTGTATGACATTCAATGCTTATCGCAAGTACTTTTTTTTGTTGAGAACGGGAATGTAAGTGACATTCGATGCTTATCGCAAATTGCAAGTACTTTGTACCAAGGGTTTAGGAGCATTAGTAGTAAAAGAATTTCTACAAATAGTCACATCCTCACTCATCTATCCCACAAATCTCAATTTTTTCCCTAGTCAACAAATACATAAATAAAATACTCAAATTACTACTAGCTTTATAGATCACTTAATGTAGTATTTTAATATGTAATTTTTATTTTTTAATTTTTTGTCATTGTTCACATAAAATGATTGAAAATAATTTCAGTCAAACATCGTAAACCGAAACAGGCAATATAAATTAAGACGGAGGGAGGATAATTTACTTCTCGATTCTATACTCTCTTCTATACAATGGATCAAAACGTCCCCAACAACCCTTATTATAATACGGAGTATGTTTTTTGGTTGTCATCGGCCTCAAATGGATCAAAACATGTCGAACCCACCCATGATGCCTATGCCAATAGATTTAATTCCCGATTAGTGAAGGAAACAAAAAACCATTCCCGTTCAGTGATGTCAGAGTAAAAAAGAGGTTAACGGTACACGCTCTACCGTTAAGCCTTAAAAAAATAATAATGGGTGGATGACCATTTGACTTCCCCTATACAAATTCCAACCCCAACCCCCCCAAAATTTCGAAGAAGCAACGGCCTAGGCCAACCTTGCCGTCCATCGCCAACCGCCAGCACGCCGTCACCGTCCCACGCCATCTGTCTCGGGTTAACGTTACCGTATGTACCGTTTTACCTATTTTAATTCCCAAAATTTCTAATTTAAACATAGATTTGGTAATTGATACGTTTATGAGATATGTTTGTGATTGGGTCTATGATGAGAATATAGAAAATTGAAATGTTGATAATTTAGAAAATTGAGAATTTAGATTAGATCTATGTTGAGAATTTAGAAAATTGAAATGTTTATGAGATATCCGAATTATTTTTGGGATATATTTGTGGATTTTTTGTAGTGCATTACATATTTTTGATTTATCGTATTCGTAGGCTATAAATTTTAATTTCGCAGAATAATGAATTTTCAAAGAACGTAGGTCCATCCGGGACCAATTGTCCCCGATGTACTAGTCTTAGCACCCGGTGAACATCGTTGTGATAGGGTGGCAAGACCGTGAGTTTGGGGACGTACCGGTAAAATGTGTTAAATTTTTTGGTAGCCTGAGGGAAAGGTTTGGTGTGGAGCGTCATCCACGAGTTGTGGAGAAATTGCATGATTATGGATTTTACGGGGTAGAAAGGATTGCTAAGTTACAAATCGATTGGGCTTTGATTACCGCCTTAGTGGAGAGGTGGACGCCGGAGACGCACGCCTTTCATCTTCCGTTTGGAGATATTGGGATCACATTACAAGATGTAGAGGTCCTACTTGGTCTTCCCATAGATGGCACTCTTGTTGTTGGTTCGCGTGGCAAGACGAAAGAGTATTGGGCGCAATTGTGTGTGGATATGATGGGGTTTAGGCCATCTTTAGAGAACTTGACCAAAACGTAGATCAGAATGAATGCGATCGTACTCACTCCTGTTGGTGATCATAGCCCGGAGGTAGACTTTTTGCAGCATGCTCGGGCATTGATGTTGAAGATTATGGGTGGTGCTCTGTTCTCTAGCACGACGGGTAACAAGGTGAACTTGTGCCTTTTGGTGTTGCTAGTTGGCACGGCGCAAGATGTGCGAAGTCGCACTATAGGCACCACGACATTGGCTTGCCTTTACACTAATTTATGTCGTGCAACTCTATCAGAGACGACACAAGTCGGCGGGCCTCTCATTCTAATACAGACTTGAGCGTGGGAGCGCATCCCGATGTGTAGACCACATGGCGTATTTCAACCCGAATATGGGAGAGATGCACCGTATGGGGCCAGGTTATTTTATGTATGAATTTTTTTTACCATTATTCGAGTAATTTAGTACTTAATCTTTAATATTTTTTTCATAGGTGGGTGTGTTATCATCGTTGGACAGTTTCACCGTCTCATTCCATTCGTGAGTACATGGACGAGTTAGACAGGCTACATGAGAGAGAGGTATAGTCAATCCATTCTACTATTCCAATTCTATATTTTCAGTAAATAAATAATATACTTATTTTTATTAAAAATCACGGCTAACTACTAAGCCGGTTTTCGGATCGTTACACGAGCACGCCGAACATCACAGCGGCAGGACGGGCTTTGCTAGAAAATGAATCGGTACGACTCTTCTAAGGGCTTACAAGAATTCCCAAGAAAAATGCTCTGATGCCATGTAAAATTTTGGAATTGAATGACTTGGTTTCTCATTAGTGTTTGGAGTATAACACAATAGTTACCAAATCTAACTAAAGAAAGACACATATACAAGGAAATAAACTAAATACAAAATATACACCAAAAGATATTCCAATAATTTACATCACTTGTGAGGGATTTGAGATTGTTGTGATGTTTAATGTCTTTGTGTGAAGTATGACGTGTTGACTATGATGTTGTGGTGACTTTGATGTACAAACGGTAACGTGTAAAGTGTCTACATATTCAAGCTGCCACAAACTCTGAGTCAGTGTTAGCAGCAGCTGGCCTGGCATTATCTTGTTAGATGACGATTGTCTGCCCCTGATTCACGGGGCATTATATTTTTCTGTGAATGTGGGTATGGTATGACTTTTCTTAATAACACGGCTCTTTTTGTTTGGGAATGTTTCTGTTAATGAGAACATTCCTAGTTTGCCTTCCCACTTTTATAGGATGCATCAATTTAAACTTGTGAGGGTTTGTTAGCAGGTGCATGAGCAAAGGGTATGGGAGACAAGAAGTAGCAGTAAAAGAGAAGAACCAAAAAAGGACAAGTAGAAAAGAGAGAAGAAGCAAAAAAAAAAGAAGTTTCAGAACCAATGATGAAAACACAAAAAACTGATGGTAGGTACCCTAGGTTTTGTTGTAAAAACTACCAGGTCCTACGTTTTTTAGAAATATACTGCCAGGGTACCCAAATTTAGGATTTAATGACCAATCAGGGACTTTTCATCCACATACCCGTTAAGCCTACTCTCTCCATTAACTTATCAAGTTCAAAATAGTGTAATGTCTTTTTTACCCCTGCAAAGCTTACAAGTTCTTCTTCGATCTCAGAACACTCAAACGCAACGCATGATTGGGGGTAGGGTTTTCGCAACTGATCTCCGCCTCATGTTCATAGGTAAGTATTCGATTGTCTTCTTGTTCTTGGTGATGAAATATGTTTTTCCATCTTCTTGTTCTTGGTGTTTGTGGTTTAACGTGAAATTATGAGATTTTGATTTTCCCCAATGCGTTTCAAACGAAAATTTCAGGTGCAAGAAGTGAAGTAAAGAACTATTTCTGTAGCAATGGCTTCAAACAGGTACTGTGATTTTCCCCGATTGCTTTCATACGAATTCATTCACATATGAATTTTATTTTATTTGGTAGTAGTAGTGGTGTTCATTACTCTTTCAACTCAAGAAGAATTCTTGACCATGGGGATTGGTTTGAGGTGCCTATGTGCAATTGTGGCAAAGGGATGGTGATTTTTACTTCCTGGACAAAAAAAAATCTTGGAAGAAGATTTTGGATGTGTGATCAAAAGGTTAGTGTACTTGTTTATAATGTTTAACATGACATGTAGATTGCTTAAACATGTTGGTAATGTGAGCTTTTATTGAATAGGGTATTCAGAAATGTAAGAGCTGGGAATGGGCAGAGCCCGAGCTATGCGATCGTGCGAAGAGAATAATTCCTGGGCTATTAGAGAATATTAAAGAAAAAGATGAAGAGATTAAAAGTCTAACCATGCGCATGAAGCACTCACAGAGGAAGAGAACTGCCGCCCCCATTTTATGTGGTCTAGGTCTAGGATTTTTGCTTCACATAGCAATTTATGTGTTCATGATGTAAGCCAAAACATGTGTATCAAGTGTTTGTTGTGGTGTAAGTTGTATGTGTTGTAAGCTACTGCTTGGGGTATTTGATTTTGATGTACCTGTCATCATTTGAATGAGCACTTGATTATTGTTGTGTTGTGTTTAAGTCATTGTTGTGCAGTGATGATGGTTTGGGATGATGCTTTGCCCTTGCTCTGTACTCATCGTAGACGAAGTCGTCTACGCTACGACTAACGTCTACGCTACGACTAACGTCTACGCTACGACTACGTCTACGCTACGACTTAGTCTACGCTACGACTAACGTCTACGCTACGACTAACGTCTACGTTACGACTAACGTCTACGCTATGACTAACGTCTACAATACGACTTAGTCTACGCTACGACTAACGTCTACGCTACGACTACGTGTACGCTATGACAACGTCTACGCTACGACTTAGTCTACGCTACGACTAACGTCTACACTACGACTAACGTCTACGCTACGACTTAGTCTACGCTACGACTTAGTCTACGCTACGACTACGTCTACGCTACGACTAACGTCTACGCTACGACTTAGTCTACGTAGCGACTACGTCTAGAACCCACAAATGCCAACCCAGTACTGCCAAAAACAGGGCATAACAACCAAAACTGCAACCCAAAAATGCCAACCCTACTTGCCAAAAACAGGGCATAACAACCAAAACTGCAACCCAGAAATGCCAAAAACAGCCCCTACTGATTCATGCCAAAAATGCAAACAGAAAAACCAAAAATGGAAACCATTACTGATTCATGTCAAATTGAAACTTTCCATTACTGAATCATGTCAAAAACCATACATATTCTGTTTGGGGTGTAGTGAGCAACAAAAAACAAAAGCTTTATACACCACTGTATAAGTACCAGTTACATTGGTTGATAACATAATGGATACAAAAAACATATTACATCTTCATTACTTCAGACATGATCTAAGATATTTTTATCAGGCTCACAAGCTTTCTTCTTCTTCCTGCTGTACATCTTCATTAATTTCCCATTAGGATCTCTACTTTGGCCACACGTCCTATGGTTGTGGTCCAACTGTTTACACTTGCTGCAACGCTTTGTTCCATGAGCTTGCCCATTCTTCTTTGCAATCAGGTCATCAATGCCATCTCTTCTCTTGTGTTTCTTGGGTCTACCTTTCTTTTTCATAGTTTTTGGTGGGTCTAGTTCTGGCAGTGTGCTTGTCCCCCACATACATGGGTCTGGAATAGGGTGTATTATGGCATCATACAGTCTCTTGTAATTCTGAACAGAAAACCAAGGTGCACAATAGTCTTCCAGCTTTTCATTTATCCTTAGAATGCATCTTGCAGCATGCTTACATGGAAGACTTGTGACTTGCCACCTGTTGCAGTCACAATTGTGGTCTCTCAACCTGACTGTAAAATTGGTGTTCCCATCAAGAACATCAAACTCACCTCTGTCTGCTGCTATCACTTCATAACAGACCCTAGAATCCATTGCTAAGGCCCTAAGTTTCTTGTCTACATAAGGGGTGACTTCAGTGGACCAACTCCTTCGAGTCCTTCCCATTGAAAACCTTTTTTCAAACCTTGAACCTACCAATTTTCTGATTTCCTCCAACATTTGTAGGGTAGGCTTTGCTCTGTGTGCTACAATAGCCTTGTTGAATGATTCCACAAAATTGTTTGTGTTATCATCACACTTCAAGGCTGCAGAAAATTTGTGCCTTGCCCAATGGGTCTTTGGCTCATTTGTCTCAAGCCAATCATAAGCTTCACTGTCTTCCTCCTTTATCTTCTCCATACCTTTCTTGAACACATACTCTGAGAAGGTATTTGCAACTATATAGAAAAATGAATGGAACCATGCACCTAACAAAATTACAAGTGTAAAACATTACATAAACAACTACTTATATCAATAAGAACTAGAAGTATATAATAATATAGTACCTGGAAATTTGGAAGCAAAGTTTTTATAGAAATGTAAAACACATATCCTCCTTGAAGCTCTTGGCATAACAGTGCTGAGCCCTTTTATTATGGCCTATTACAGATTTGTTAAGAAAAATAAGTACCTGGAGTGGACTTTAATAAAGAATACATATTCAATCAGTGCACTATAATAAATGTAAGCATGGAAGTACCTGGTGCCTATCAGAAATTATAGTGTACCTAGAAGCATCTTGACTGCACCCTAGCCCCTCTGCTAACCCATGAAGGAAAAAACCCCACTCTGTTTCATCCTCAGTATCAGCTACACCATAAGCCAAGGGAAACTGTCCATTATTTCCATCTAAACCCATTGCTGTCAACAGAATTTCTTGGTATGGGCCCTTCAAATGACATGCATCAATACCAATCAATGGCCAACAATATTCCTTAAAAGATTTGATGGCTGAACCTATACATAATAAACACCTTCTAAATATGGGGTTCCTGCCTGGCCCTATCTCCTCCCACCTTATGAAGCACTCAGAATTTGGATTTCTACCTCTAAACACCTCCATGTATTGGGGTAAAAGCTTGTAGCCATCCTCATGCCTCCCTTCCACAATTTGCCTCATCAATTTTAGGCCTCTCCAGCAAGTGTAATTTGGAATGTAAGTATTGAACCTTTTTAATATTAGCTTTTTCACAGTGGTAGCATTCATCTCCTTATTGCTTCTAAAGTCTTCAAGCAAATGGGTTGCAACCCAAGATGCTCCTGCCCTTTTGTGGTGCTCTTTAACTGAACAAACATGGCCATCAATTAGGGTTTTAATCATCCATGAATGACCATCAACAAGAACAGAAGCATGAATCCTGAATTTGCACTTCTCATTGGCACATGTTTGAGTGTATTTTCTTTTATCATTCTTAATCTTTCTTAGAGAAATACCTTTCTGGATAATGTAATCCCTCATCACCCTTAGAAAATCTTTTTTTGAGCTGAATATGTCACCCTCCCTCAGCTCTACTTTTTCATTTGTACTTCTAAGCCACAACCTGCCAGTATTGAAAATCTTTGCCATTTTGTCCACAATCAACTGACTTCCACTCCCATCTTCATCCTCTTCCACATGACCCAACTTCATTCTATTATTAGTATCAGCATCAAACTGGCTTGAGCACTCTTCATCCAGAGACACATCCACACTACTTGAGCACTCTTCCTCATCACCATCAAACCGGCTTCCTTCATCATCATCTTCACTGCATTCCTCTTCATCAGCACCATCACTTTCATTGGGAGGCACAACTTCTTCAAAGAACAGATCTAGGGGAGTAATCTGGGGCTTGCACAGACTAGGAAGATCATATGCTTCTAGACCTTTCAATTCCTTTGCAAACAATTTCACATTCAATTCAGTTATTTCAAATTCTTTTCTTCCACATCCTATAGAATTTTTCTTTCTCTTCTTAGGTGTCCTAACACTGTCAACATCATCTCTTTCTTCTTCAGTGTTTGGTGGTAAATCATCAACATTTCTGAAACATGAGGGGCTTACTTCATCATCTGACCTTCTTGGCTGCTTCCTAACAGGTAACTTGGATTTCTTAAATGACCCTAGTTTAAATTCTAGATTCCTACTGCTTTTACTTGGAGAAGTAGGAGTTACAAGCAAGTTGTCAGCCCATTGCTCAATTGAAGTTATAGTCGACTCATGACCATTCTGGAAACTAGAATCAACAGCCACTGCCATCATTTGCAATGCACTGGGCTCCAGCAGTTCAACAACATATATAGGAATGTAAGTGGAAGACACACTCCCCCATTCCTCAACCATTTTATTCCAGTCTGAATCATTAACTAAATGTTCTCCCTGAACTTCTTTGAAGGGTGGATGATATTTCAAACCAACAAACCTAGGCAGCTCTATATTTTGTTCCTTAGCTTTAGAGATGATATCAGAATATAAATCTTTGGTGAAGTAGATATCTAAATCAATGTCTTCTATCACAAAGCATTTATCTTTTACATACACTTGAAAACATGTAGTAGCCTAAACATTGAAACAAGGAGAAACATGAAATTAAAATACCCAGCAGCAAGAAGGAGAAACATGTAATCCTGAAGATGAACGTAGTTATAAGGAATTCAGGGAGAGTGAACTCTTACCATTTTCGTGTGTTTGGAGCGATGGTGACGATGGAAAACGACGGCAAACCAAATTGGGAAAGAAAGCATCCCGTTTTGGAGGAGATGAATTTGCAGAAACCTTAAAACAAGCTTTATTGGGAAATAAAGAAGGGTATATACGTCATTTACATACACTAACGGGGATGTGGATGAAAAGTCCCTGATTGGTCATTAAATCCTAAATTTGGGTACCCTGGCAGTATATTTCTAAAAAAAGTAGGACCTGGTAGTTTTTACAACAAAACCTAGGGTACCTACCAGCAGTTTTTTGATGAAAACATGCTAAAAAAGAAAGGGTTGCTTTCATTTCACACTGGGTTTTATTTCCCACCGGTTTAAATTTTTGGCAACATTGTTTTTGTAAACTTGGAGGGCTCATTGCTGTTGCAAAAAACAGTTCAAAACACTACCACAATTTCTGAATAAGCACATTTTCTGAACAGTATGAACACCGGCATAACATCTCAAAAGTAGCACATATTATCAGCTTGAAAAAGGAAGAAAAAAAATCATTTTTCCAAATAATAAGACAGTGAGACTGAAAAACAATGATCTGTTTACACGCGATTCGTAAAAGCATTCTGATTAGATGAAACAAACAGTTCTCTGGCAGAGCTTTCAATACGGGCATTGTTACCGATGCTGGTTGGGAGGCATTGCAGCTGAGTGTGGTACCATGCTGCTTTGGGTGTTGTACACGCTTGCATGAGGAGGATTATTGTATTGCATGTGTGAGGGCATATGTGGGTGTCCCGGATAGTTCCACGAAGAAGCAGGGTGGGGATGAGGTGGTGGTGCATGAACCCCTGGAGCATACTGAGTTGTGGTGGTGGCATTGTAGGGATGATGAACACCGGGAGCCGCCGTTGGGGATGATTGTTGTCCCAAAGCTGCAGAGGGTGGCACACCCAGTAGAGGAATGATGTTTGGGGCGGTATAATCTCTGCTTCTATCATTGTTCACCTGAAATTTATGATTAGTCAATAGCAGGAACTTTATAACTATAAGTAAATTGGATAAAGGGAATATAAACTACTCTGTATAAAACTATAACTTTGGTCCCTCGTGTATACCATATAACTCAATTTAGGGGCCATTTAGCACTTAGTTAGATGCTGTTCAGATAAGTACCCCATTTAATTCAGTTCAGCTTAGTTCAAAATTACACTGCAATCAATTTAGGGGCTGTTTGGCAACTTCTGAATGGGTAAGTGTTGAACCAGTAAGAGGTCTGAACCATTAAGTGCTGAACCAGTAAGAGGTCTGAACCATTAAGAGCTAGTATATTGCTTAACTATTCAGAGGCAAATGTCTGATCAATTCAGATAAGAGGTCTTAATCATTCAGACTCTGTATAATACTTAACCATTCAGAGGCAAATCTCTTAACCATTCAGACATCTGAACCATTAAGAGGCTGAAACAAACAG